GGATCATCACGTAACCTCGTGCCAAAAGCGAAAAATACTTTAATGAAAATCCGAGGAAATACTATAGCGACTGCATAATGACCTTGTTAAAAAAAAAATAGAAAAAAGTTGTGGAATGAGAAGGTGCTTACGTTTTTTTTTTTTTTTTTAATCAAATTTCAAGGTTTGGTGGAAATATTGATCTAAATTAGAAAATTCGATACGAACTTATGGGATGAGCTTAAGATGAGATGAGATTCCAGATGTTCTAAAAGTGCAACAATTAAGAAAATGAGAATTGAGGGATATTTTAATGGTGAATCAATTGGTCTGACTGAAACGCTGTGTCTACTTCGGCTTGTGTTCAATTTCAGTGGAATTCGAAACGCTGAATTGCTATTAATGTTAAGGCGTGCAAATGTTAATATTGACAGTCTACTTTTTGAACAAAATTTCTAAAGAGCTTGAACATACAATTCAAGGAGATAAGATAATTTTGTTCCGCGAAAGAAACATTTAGACTACTTCCTCTAATAGTGCAATCGAGCTTGTGGTAGACTGAAAACTTCGCCTGATTCAAAAATTTCTCCTTATTAACAAAATATTGAATAATTAATTCGAGAAACAAGAATGAAATAAATTCACTTTTAATTATGCTCGATGATAGGCCAATTTCTGCACTATTAGCACTTCAAACTTCGGATTTTGTGTATCAGCTGGGAATTTTCGGTATCATAAGTGATTTCATCTAAATCTTCGTCGCACGCGTTATGGCAAATTTAATTGCGTTGCTGATACGATAATATTAACAATAGTTTTAACCGTATCGATCTTTCTTCCACTCTCGCCAATCTCTTAAAAATCAACTTCTCGGCAATTTGTTACCATTAATATGATTGCATTTTCATTTTATACTAAAAGCTTCATCCTCTGGAATAAATAAACAAATAGACTCAATTTTCAAACTTTTACACAAAACATCAACAAACCTTCTCATAAACAAACAAACTTTAAAAAGCGCATGCATAGCGTTCACAATTCTCCACATTTGAGCCGCTCAGAAGCCAAAAGGGCTAACTCCTCCATCGGACAAAATTTCTGAAGTCAATTTCATTCGTGAAAAATCGATCACCAATCGTCACATACTTTGCTACTCAAATTGAAACAATCGCAAAATACGAAATTAGTCTCTCCGAGGGACTCATTTCAGTGGATCACTGCGCCGAACTACAGAGATCCCTAAGATAAAGCTGATAATAACACCTTGGCCGAACGGCGGTCATGGAAATGGCACTTGTAAAGAGGCGATTTTGTGCTCGCCGCTTAGGCAATCTCGGGAACACGATAACGATGTAATTATCTGTCCAGGTAAATACAAACGCGAGCACATTTATCTCCAAGGTTCGCGCCAAGTGAAAAACCCGTGCGATTTCACACCTTCGATTACGTTTCATCGATACTTCGTGTCCATGGATCGCCTAATGTCGAAAAGGACTTCGGTGACGTGCTTCACCTTGTCACGTGTCTACATTCTCGTTTGAACAATTTTAGAACGAACAGTGATTAATTCGGTATAGTTTTCCATGGCTGAATGGATGTACAAGAGAAGATATTTACAGCGAATATTGTTGCTTCGGAGTCTTTAGTAGTAAACGTGTTTGATGTTTTGTGTCACGAGCTTTTGTTGGATCGTGATTACCTTTGTTTGACGAGGTATTGTTGCAAGAAGGATAATTAGATTGGTCATTCGAGGAAGCTTTTTGTGTGGAAAGAATAAACGACGGAGCTTCGAGCGAAGGATTGTTAAATAAAAAGTGGACCTTTTGTTGGACGTAAAATGGCGCAAACGAAAACAGGCGAATAATGGAATTTTTATGAACGAATAGAAAATTTGTAAAAAATATTGAACGTATCTTTTGTACTACTAGTGAAAATGATGTTTAAAATGTACGGAGAGATAAAGAAGAATTATCGTAATGGAGATAAAAATAGAATTCCGTTAGAAAATTAACGCAAGTAGCGTTCTTTAATGTTTCGATTGAGACGATAATGTCGGACATCGAGTCCTGCTTGCATTCAAATTGCTGCTTCGCGAGTGAAAACTAGGCTAAATGGTCGTTGCAAGTAGTAAGAGTCGAGAACGTAGACAGTAGAATCATACTTACTTAATCAGACGTAATACCGTGCACTTATTCTTGGCTGTCGGTGTGTAGAGAGAAAATGATTTACTTTCCTAATGAGACATTTCAACACACACAACAACCACTCCTATTAATTATACAATTTGATTAAATTAATTATTTAAAAAAAGAAAACAATTCTAATTGATCCTTCAAAGAAAAACATTAAATGAAGAGTTCCTTGTTTTTCCGTTCATTTTGTGAAAAATCTTAGCGTACTTAATTATTTAAACAAAAAAAAACAGGAATTTCTGGTTATTTTTAGAATTTTATTTTTTATTCGACGTTGTTAAATTTATTTTTCATTAGAGTGAACGTAAAAAGTCGCCGAAATTACTTCGGCTGAACAATGAATCAGCTGTTTCTCACGTCTGAGGTGTATCAACATGATAAACATGATCGATTATCCCGGAAGAAATACAATCACCCCGACGATGGCTAATTTATTCAAATAATTATTATTGGCCTGTACAACGACAGTGTAATCGTGATGCATCACTCGACACGTGGGATATAATACTTTGCGCTACGATCTTGCCCGTAATTGACACAAATTTATGTTTCGGGCAGCGTGCCAAGTCAAACAAACAGCGGCATGAACAAGAACCGTTTCCCAGCCGTGACGACACGTTGGAGTAGAAAATTTTAGAGACGACAGGTGTACCTTTACACGTGTTTAACACACGCTATCGTACTCCACGATGAGTTAATTATAGTTGACAAAATGGTCATTCGTTAAAGGGTTAGACCACCCCTAAGCACTGAAAATGGTACCTAACTTTGGTATTTTTTTGGCGGGGGAAATAATTGAGTCGATCGAAAATTTATCATGGGGGTTTTATTACACTATCCTTGGGGAATGTGAGAGTATTTTTTTCCTTTGATTTCTTTGCAAAATGGCGACGCTACAGGCGCATCGCTGAAGCTCTGTTTCGAACGGACGCATAACTATTATTTTTACTAATAAGGAAACATCTCGAATTGAAACTTTGGTGTATAATAGTACTCAGAAAAATATTTGACCCGTATTTTTTTTTATCAACGATCGTCCATATTTGAAGGGTGAAAATGGCCCTCGAAGTAACAGTCATATTTGGTTCAATATATCGAAAATTATTAGAGATCTTAGAACAACGGAAACTGATAATTTAGTATTTCTCAAC